AGGAGCTGGAGAAAGTATGCAACCCCATCATTACCAAGCTGTACCAGAGTGTAAGTGGCATGCCAAGAGGAATCCCTGGGGGCTGGTGCTCCAGGTGGTGGTGGCTGCTCTGGACCTAATATTCAAGAGGTTGACTAAAATTTGAACTGGAACTTCATTCTATCTTGTTAAATTCCTAGGACACAAATTTGTATTAATGGCTGTTCCAAGTTAAATTTCTCATGCCAGCTGCTGTAAATTTTTTTATTTTAAAGCTCTAATGCTTGAATCCACTCCATCTGCCTGAAAAAGGGACAGCATTGCACTCTACCTGTACTGTAACAAATGTTGGTCCAAGAAAATAAACTTTTTTAACTGGCAAAAAAAGCATACAAATTTAGTGACGTAACATTACCAAAAAAGGAATCCTTGCTTCTGCAAAGGAACTGGTCCCACATGCATTAGTCTCTATGGGTCCCGGTTTTTCATAGACTGAGACCTTACTACTAAGCTGTGAAACATAACAAGACCTCTTATCTTAATACCTGTATACTGTGTGCATCTGCTTCTACTAATAAACTTTGGTCTCACAGTGGGCAGTGTGAACATTACTCTTTGGAATTCTTTGTGCTCCATATAACATTGTTTAGTGCACACTGAGCACATTTGAACAGGTAGTGTAAGCAACTGTCAGGTATTGTGCGGCTAATTCAGTGTTCACTGCAATTGCTTATATTACACAGTAAGAAGCAAATAACCTCGGTGTGAACAGTACTCAACCATGGTACTTGCTGTATTTGTAAAAACATAGAAAAGTGATGGCAGAAAAAAACTGAGTGGTCCATAGAGTCTGCCTATTTATTTTGGTGTATTTTTTATTTTTTTTTGGGGGGGGGGGGGGTCATTTATTCCAAGCATCAACTACGCTTTCAGTAAAATAGTACTTTCCGAGGTTAGTTTTGCACTTTCCTCCAGTTAATTTAAGGTCATGTTCCTGTGTTCTTGATTTGGTTTCATGTTGAAAATACTGCCCTCCTGAACCTTATTCACCCCCTTGGATGTATTTAAAGGTTTCAGCCATATTTCCCCTTTCCCTTCTTTCCTCCAGTCTCTATATATTATCAAGTTTCTGAGGTTGCTCTTGATATGTTTTATCCCCTAGACCTTTCACCATTTTTGCTACCTGTCTGTCTCTGAGGTCTAACTAAAGATCTATACCTCCTTCGTCCTGCTGATGACCCCTCTAGTGATGCATCCTAGAATTCTATTCACTTTCCCCACCGCCTGACCACACTGCTCATTTTGCAATCATCTGAAATAATTACCCCCAAGTCCTTTTCCTCTGAATTGCTGGCCAACAATGTGCCCCCCAATGTTGTACTATCAAGCGATTCTTTTTCCTTACGTGCATTATTTTACATTTAGAAACATTGTAAAAGATGACATGTAAATAACCATATATTTTAGTAAAGCTATTGTTTCTGCAGTGGAATTTATTAATTCATTTTGCCAGGGATCCCCTTTATTAATTTCCTATTAATTTAAAATTGTGTTCACATGGTTTGCAAGTTGATTTGCTCATCCCTACTTGATTTTCATCTCTAAAAATGCTTTTATTTCTTTTACAGGCATCTGAACTTACACCAAATGGGGATGTGGTGGGCCATGCTGTTACAGTGGTAACCATCCGAGTTGTTGATCTAAATAATCACCCTCCAACTTTCTATGGGGAAAATGGTCCTCAGAACCATTTTGAACTTACCATGTATGAGCATCCACCAGAGGGAGAGATACTACGTGGGCTTAAAATCACTGTCAATGATTCAGATCAGGTTGGTAGCCTATTCTGTATTATCCTGTATTCTGTTAGTAGCTTATTCTGTAATTTGTACCCCCACAATATGCATTGTTAAAAATATGGTTCTGAAATACAAGGTATTAAATGGAATGATATTAATACTTTTAACAGGGAGCAAATGCCAAATTCAACTTGCGTTTGGTTGGACCAGGAGGAATTTTCCGTGTAGTGCCACAGACTGTATTAAATGAGGCTCAAGTAACCATAATCGTGGAAAACTCTGCTGGAATAGACTATGAAAAGTTTCATTTATTAACTTTTAAGGTATATATTTTTTTCCTTTTCACGTTACTTGGGAATGTCTGATAAGTAATTTCTTTGAGATGTGATTAAGCCCTGGTTCACACCGTATGTGCCTTTTGAAATTGCGCTACTTCATCATGATTTCAAAGCCGCTGTTCAGTGCGACTTCACGTGTGGCTTGGCGGCATCTGTGCGACTGCATGCGCAAATGTCAATGCAAGTCATACATGAAATTGCAAAAAATAGTGCAGGAACCTTTTTTAAAGTTAGCGCAACTCAGTTGCACGGATTTGAAAGGTTCCAGAGCTGCAAATAGGGTGTAACTTGTCATATGACTTTGATCTGTCAGGTCGCATAACAAGTCATACCATTGTAAACCGTTGCTTAGGGAATACAATTACTTTTTAGGCATCTTCCTTGTGGCTGTAGTATGCTATTTTTTCTAATTTTTTTCACTGTTTTTTTTTTTTTTTTTTCTTAATATGCTGTATATCAAAGTATCCAAAGCCAAAACCCTAATTTCCTTTTAGATGTCAAAATTTTAAGCCAAAAGAAACCATCCTTATTTTTTATATAAACATAACACAATAATTCTTGTTTTAACCATTGTTAGGAAATGGTCAAGGCTGTTTAATTTTCTTATGATATGCACTGTAGCTGATATATTTAGTCTTTGCAATTTCAGGTTGAGGAACATTGCTTTTTTTTTTACCCAATCGTGCTACTGAACTGTTGCCAATGAGCCTAATTAGTTACAAAATGTTCTTCCATGTTAGTAGCATTTACTTTGCTAGCATTTTGTTGCCGTCTCAACTCTTTTGAGACGTGTTGTTGACATCAATTTAAAAATGACCTTACTTTTTTTTCTTAAAATGGTACATTTTCTCAGTCTAAACATTTGATATGTTTTCTATTGTGAAGAAAATATGGGTCTGAGATTTGCAAATCATTGCATTCTATTTTAATGTAGAGTTTACACAACGTTCAGTGCAAACTGTTTAACCTCTTCACGCCGGCGCCTCCCGGCCCTTTAACCACTTCCCGTCCAGCACATAATGTACATAAACGGCCAGATGAGAGCAGTGCTGAAGCGGGTGGCCATTTATAAACGGCCCCCACATTCACTGCCTATGCGCTCTTCCTGGTAGCGTCTGGCACCGTGGCCCGGTGCCCGCTGTGTCCAGAGGACATAGCGGAACACCGATCGCTGTACGGGACCTCTGCGTGAGGTCCCTATTCATGTGATCCCTGATTGGCCAATGGGTGATCACATGAACAGTAGAAAACAAGATGTCACTTCCTGACATCATTGCTTACTACTAGTAAAATCTGTGAATGATCATAGAGGTCACATGGTACATGATGAAGGCTATTCACAACAGCATTGTACCATGTGACAAGCTGTGACCAATCACAGCAAATTATTGCTTTTACAGCCTTTATGGGTGTAAAAGCAATCAGTGTAAAAAAAAATCTAAAAAAAGTCTATGGTGACACTGTACTACTAGGGTGATGGTATGTTAAAAAATAATAATATAAACATGTAAAAACAAATTTAGAAAAATTATAATTTTTGATTATAAATGAATTTGGGTTATTTTTTTTCCACTAAAAAGATAGCTGAATACATTTTGGCCAAGATGTATGAAGAAAGATTATTTATTTGCAAAATTTTATAAGAAAAACACTTTTTTTTTTTTTCAAAATGTTTGGACTTTTTAATTTATATAGCAACAAAATAAAAATCCCAGCGGTGAATAAATACCACCAAAATAAAGTTTTATCTGTCTCAAAAAAATGCTAAAAAAATCATATGGGTACAGTGTTGTATGATCACGCAATTGTCATTCAAAGTGTGATAGCGCTGAAAGCTGAAAATTGGCCTGGACAGGAAGGGGGTGAAAGTGTTCGGACTTGAAGTAGTTAAGGGTTTTCAGACACCGGGAGGTGGGGGGCAAGATTCTAGGGTCATGTGACCGCCGTGATTCTCTATCACGGCGGTCACATGATAAGAAAAGGTCCCGATTGTAAGGTGAGATCAGGACCTTTCTATGAGTCACTGACATATGTGTTGGGAGAACGCATGGCGCGTGCTCTCAGCACATATCTGTTTTCAAAGGGTACGCAAATATGCGGCCACTCGGCGTCAAGGCCCAGCCGCCGAGTGGCCGCATATTTGCGTACGGTCAGCATCAAGGGGTTAAAGCATTCACTAAATGCTGTATATCGCAAGTCTGCTTCCTCTTATCAAGGCGCTGACACACACAGACTTTCTCTGATGTGGATGCTATTTTTTCCTGAATTGTGTGCCCAAATCCTGCAATATTGGTGCAAATCTCACAGGATTTATGTAGTGATATCAACATTGCTTTCCACATTACTTAAAAATCCTCCCAGGACATTTTACAGGGATGGACTGTTTCTACAATGGGGGAATTTTAAAATATCTCCAATTGTAGCAACATAGCATTCCAAAACAAGAATCACCTACCAAGTTAGTGCATGTTTTAATGACAATACCTACTGTAGCTACACATATTCTATCACTATACCAACTTTGTCTCATATTGAGACAAAGGTGAAAATGCATTTTAATTACCCTCTTTATATGCTCTGTTCAGATAACATTCCTGGCTTACCCTATGCAAAGAGATACATCTTCAGCAAGAGTGGTTGCATTATATATTTGTTATGGTTGAATTGCTGGCAGTGGATCTAAATGATGCTCAGTCATTCCACTTTTTTCAAGAGCAGACTTCCTTCAATTACACAAATCAAGTCAAGATTTTTTCTCTGCCCCCTTTTGGACAGAATAGGATACAAAAAATAACTTTGTATAGGTACTATGTACTCCACAGGTTAGTGTGTTTCTAACCGTTAACTGTTTTTTTTTTTCTATCTTTAGCTTCTTGCCATTGAAGTCAACACTCCAGAAAAATTCAGCTCAACAGCAGATATAACCATCCATCTTTTGGATATTAATGATAATGTGCCAAAGTTTTCCTCAGAGTATTATGTTGCTAGAATCCCAGAAAATTCCCCAGGAGGCTCCAATGTTGTCGCTGTGACGGTGAGCGTACTTTATGAGCTATGATGAAATATGTTAGTATCTCAAATCTGTGCATTGTGGAGAAATGTACCATATTAACAGTTCATTTTTGTTTTGTTTTACCAATGCAATTGAAAAATGTATATTACATGGGAATGTTTATCTCTCACTGCATATCTCAAGGTGATGGTGTCATTGCTCTTCAACTAAGATTTGTTTTTATTGAAAGCGGACTTCCAGTTGAAAAAAATTAAATTTAAAAGTCAGCCGCTACAAATACTGTAGCGGCTGACTTTTAAAATACAGACATTTACCTGTCCCTTGGTCCAGTGATGTCCTTACTATGGCTGGTTTCACTGGCCGTCTTCTCTCCCCGGTGCTGGCATCTTCAGTGTGGGCACCTGGCTGTGACAGCTTGCAGCTTCACAGCCGGGTGCCCACTGCGTATGTGGGAGAAGTGCTGTGCTTTCTGAATGGCCCTGTAGTCTTCTGGGACTTGTCACATGTCTCAGGAGACTACGGGGAGGAAGGGGAAGGACAACGTCCGCTTCCGATTGCCTTAGGTGATCGCAGCAGAAGTGGGAGCCGGTATCTGTTAAGTTTGGGTCCCACTCCCCAAATGTGCCAATCCTCAATGGGGAGTGGGAGACAAAGGCTTAAAGTGAAACTTCCCCTTTTGGGTGGAGCTCCGCTCTAATGTGATGGATCCTCATAACAGATTTTAGCCATCATGATGAGTTACTATGTTCTCAAAGATTATGATTCATTTACCTAAAATGACTAAATTATCAAACATGGAAAGATATTTTTTGGAAGTCAGCATTCCTAAAATGTACATTTCACATGATCCTTCAATAACTCATCATAGGATTATTTTATGACAGTTGCTCTACAGCTAGGATGTAAACCATAACACATTAAGTTAATCCTGTAGTGTGTTAAAGTAGAACTATAGGCAAAACATTTTTTTTTTCATTTTGTATAGAGTAAGGGACTGTTTAACCCCTGTCAATGTATTTTTTGCCATCTGTGTCCCTTTGGGGAGATTTACCTTCACTTCCTACCCCACAGCCAACAGAAAAGTAATAAAATCCCTGCAAATTAAAGGAATTCCTTGGGGACCCCCAGATCACCAGAATTAGTGACCCCATTGGAAAATGTCCCCTCTGTTACTGGATTGGGGACAACCCAAAATGCAGGGGTTCTTTTACTTTCAATGATAATGGTAAACAGGACAAATAGAGATGGTGAATCTCCCTAATGGGGGTACAGACAGCAATAAAAACTGACAGGTGTTCTAATACATCTCCACTCTATCCAAAAGAAACAAAAACATTTTTCTTTTTGTTATACTTTTAAGTGATATTACGATATAATAAAATGAAAAAAAAAAAACTTTATGAAAACATCTGCTTACATTATGTACTACTTTTAATAATCTAATTCAATTATATATGAAAAATGTATGAATACAATTGTAATGTATCACTACTGACATTTTTCCCAAATCTTTGTCTTTCATCCATTCATTCAGGGAGGAGTAGCATTAATATACAGGTTATGGGAGTGGACAGCACATGGAAATAGTATGAGTAGGAGGGGGTGTGAAAGGGTTTAAAAAAAGATCCATGTGTTACTAAAACAGAATGAATCTTTAGGTACTGCTCCATTCATTTTTTTCCCATCAATTCGGTCTCTCTCCTTTCCCTGTTGTATGAGAAAGGGGCGGGATCAACACTAAATATTAGCATGTGATGACATGATTCCCAGTCCCTTGGATCAGCTTGGTACAGTGTCTCTGTGTGCTGAGCCATCATACAGCGACTACTGTGCGGATCATCTGTTCAACTAATAGCTATTTTAAAATGGCACTAGATAAACAACGGGCCACCAGTTTTCCATTTAAAGATGTAGAAATGGGCTTTTCTTCCTCAAGTTGATTTCCCTTAATGTTCTAAAATGGAAAAGCAGAGAGTACCAGATGAAATGCAGTGGTACGAGCACAGTTTGTATTAGGACAACAAGCATGTCCCCATGATTTAAATCGCTGTTTCATGGGACTACAAGGTGGATGGTCAGGATGCTGCAGTGGCCACCAGCAGGATCAAATGCCGCTGTAGGATGAGCCACGTAATACCAAAAACCAGGCTTGAACACTCAGGGGCACAGGACCAGAAATTTCAAAGCCCTTCCTTGCACCATGTAGTGCCATTGAAACATGTTCCCATTGTAGGTGGAGCCAGCAAGGGTGCCAGGGTAGAAGGCTATAAACATACAATGACAGATCAATCATGCAGGGGGGCCATTCACCCTTCATAAACTGCACAGAATGGGAACTGGGGGTGAGGGGGCATTAACCCTTGGTGGACTGCATGGGGGGGGAGAAACTACAAAGTGCAGATAAACATTGTACAAGCAGAAAGTTCAATTTACAAAAGGGTGTAACATCAACCCTTAAGAGGCAGTGAAAAGTGTATGTAAAATGAAACATAAATAACAGGGAGTAGGGCATCCACCCTTTGCTGGCTGTACCAAGTGAAATATATTGGTAAAAGCATTGATGCAAATATAGCATAATGCATGTATGTATATGTGTGTGTAATAAATATATACACTGCTCAAAAAAATTAAAGGAACACTTTTTAATCAGTACAGCATCAAGTTAGTTAAACTCCTGGGATATTGATATGGTCAGTTAAGTAGCAGAGGGGGTTGTTAATCAGTTTCAGCTGCTTTGGTGTTAATGAAATTAACAGGTGCACTAGATGGGCAACAATGAGACGATCCCCAAAGAAGGAATGGTTTTACAGGTGGAGGCCACTGATATTTTTTTCCCTACTCCTCTTTTCTGACTATTTTTCAATAGTTTTACATTTGGCTAGGGTCAGTGTCACTACTGGTAGCATGAGGCAATACCTGGACCCTACAGAGGTATCACAGGCAGTATAACTCCTCCAGGATGGCACATCAATATGTGCCATTGGCAGGTTTGCTGTATCTCCCAGCACAGTCTCAAGAGCATGAAGGAGATTCCAGGAGACAGGCAGTTACTCTAGGATAGCTGGACAGGGCAGTAGAAAGTCTTTAACCCATCAGTAGGACTGTTATCTGCTCTTTTGTGTGTGAAGGACAGGATGAGCACTGCCAGAGCCCTACAAAATGACCTCCAGCAGGCCACTGGTGTGAATGTCTCTGACCAAACAATCCGAAAAAGACTTCATGAGGGTGGCCTGAGGGCCTGACATCCTCTAGTGGGCCCTGTGCTCACTGCCCGGCACCATAGGGCTTGATTGGCATTTGCCATTGAATACCAGAATTGGCAGGTCTGCCACTGGTGCCCTGTGCTTTTCACACAGATGAGAGCAGATTCACCCTGAGCACATGTGACAGATGTGAAAGTGTCTGGAGAAGCCATGGAGAATGTTATGCTGCCTGTAACATCATTCAGCATGACCGTTTTGGTGGTGGGTCAGTGATGGTCTGAGAGGCATATCCATGGAGGGACACACAGACCTCTATAGGCTAGACAATGGCACCCTGACTGCCATTAGGTATCGGGATGAAATCCTTGGACCCACTGTCAGTGTGACGGGAGTCACTTTGGGTGAGAGGCCCATGGAACCCAGCTCACTTTAGAGAGGTGGGGAGACCCCTTTCTCAGCTCCCCATATCCCTATTATGTGTAAGTCACCCTGTGCCTGTTAGGGGTACAGGGATGATCTGTCCTAATATTGGGGTGGGGGGTTGTAGATTGTTTAATGCCATGTGATTGCATCCCATTATTCTATTGTGTGTCTTGCTTGGAGCAAACTATTATGGGATGTATGTGTTTGTGCATTGGCTTGGTGGGGGGTGTTTCCAGCAGCCTCCCTCTTGATGGGACTGTCTGTTGGTGTGTCTCTTGTTACTAAAGGTGGATTGCCCCGCCCTGTGGCATTACGCAGGGAGGGGGGTGGTTTGTTCCCTTGAATGTATATATCTTGTATCTGTGTTAAAATAAAGTAGTCTATTTCCTGGTTTACTTCAAATTTGTGGTGTCTGTGGTTGGTGTTCGGATGGGGAAGCGGTATTCTAACAGAAGTACTCAGTGCAGGCTGGGACGGTTCCGTTAGTCAGACCCTGCGCTGGTGCAGAGGGTCCAGGGTTCCTCCAGGTGCACGGCAATGTCTGGCCTCATGTGGCAAGAATACACAGGCATTTTTTGGAGGATGAAGGAATTGATACCATTGAATGGCCTCCAGGCTCGCCTGCCTAAATACAAAAGAACACCTCTGGGATATCATGTTTCAGTCCATCTGACACTGCCAGGTTGCTCCTCAGACTGTTCAGGAGCTCAGTGATACCCTGGTCCATATCTGGGAGAAAATACCCAAGGATACCATCCGTCATTTCATTAGGAGCAAGCCTCGACATTGTCAGGCATGCATACAAGCACATGGGAGCCATACACACTACTAAGTACCAATTTGAGTTGCTGCAATGAAATTTCAGCAAAATGGACTAGCCTGCTGCATCATTTTTTCACTTTGATTTTTTGGGGTGTCTTTGAATTCAGTCCTTTATAGGTTACTTTTCATTTCCATCAAACAATGGGTCATCTTTACATTTCTAACACATCACCCAGTCCATATCATTATAGATATCCAGCATATTTTTCCCCATTGAGATCTGATGTGGTTTCAAAGTGTTCCTGTAATTTTTTTGAGCAGCGTATACAGTGTGTTTGTATATATGTGTGTGTGTGTGTGTGTGTGTGTGTGTGTGTGTGTGTGTTTGTAACACGATATATAAATAACACGATCACACAAGTACAGACACACGTAAAAATATAAAAACATAATATAAATAAGTACTATACATCTTAAAATAAAAAAATGCTAAATGAATATACAGTATGTGTGTGTGTGTGTATATATAAGAAATTCATACGGGACTTTACCAGGGATTCTAACGGTAAGTGTTCTATCATAGATGCATATTACCTATGACTAATCAAAATATTCTCCCAACCCATCCACATC